AAAAAGTAATAAACCAGCTTTGGTGGAGTTTGAATTAATTTTTAAAAATCTATTAAAAGAAAAATTATTACTTCATAATAATAATAATAATAATAATTACAGTATGTGCGTGTCTTAATATATATCTCTAGGTATGCACGTGTCTGGTATGTGCGTATATTATTATTATTATTATTAGTAGTAGTAGTAGTAGTAGTATTGTTATTGGGGTCAAAAAACTAAAAAAAAATTTGTGACTGGTCGATAATTGGGGCCGTCATGCGAATTTTTTTCATCTTCTGCGCACTATAATTTTATTGAAGAGATTTTCTGACATCATCATCGCCGTCATCATCATCATCAGTGACATCATCATCATCAGTGACTTCATCATCAGTAACAACATTATCACCATCGTCATTCATAACATCATCATCATCATCAGTAACATCATCATCATAATCATCATCAGTGACATCATCATCATCATCAGTAACATCATCATCACGCCAACACGAGCAGAATAAGATGAATGTGGCGGACAATTTGATATTTTTTTCTAGCATAATTTTCCAAACCATCATCATTATCATTGTCGTAGCCAAATCATCATCATCATTGTTATCATCATCATCATCACAACCATCAGCAGCAACAACAGTAGCAGCAGCAGCTGCTGCAGCAGCAGCCTCACGCCATGGTAGCATCCCTAAGGCCCTTGATAAGAACTGATAAGATGAACTTGATGGTCTTCTTGTAGATCTTCTCCAGTTGAGAGGACATCTTGCGGCCGAGAATGTCTTTCATTGAAGACATGAATGGTTCCTCTATGGCCTGTTGTTGTTGATGTTGTTGTTTTGTTGCTTTGTGGTGACGTCATAATGACGTCATTATGACGATAGGATGATGAAGCCGTGGTTACGCTAGCTATGTCACGGTGATGTCATTAACGTGATAACGATGTCACAGCGATGTCATTCTACAAAATTCTACATTCAACAAAACTAAGACAACGCATTTTTTTCTTACACACACGCACGTACACACACACGCACGCACACAATGTTGTTGACACCTCCTAACCCAAAAAGTCTCCGGGGCAAAATCCTCCGAAAACTTCCCATGGGACTTCCCTTGCTCCAGGATATCTTTCACTATCTCGGAGTCGTCCAGGTTATCAAAGATGTCCTCAAAAGCCGACATGACGACCATGGCGTGTGTGGAGAAGACACTGCTGTCTGTGAAGTCGGACATCGGGTCCATCTGCCGAAATTTCTCGAAAGTGTTTTTCACGAGGGGATTTGATTGCAAGAGTCTGATTTGGGAAGAGAGAGAGAGAGAATGATGAAAGGTAAGCGAGGATGAAAAACTGAGAGTGAGAGAGAGTGAGAGGGAAAAAATGATGAAAGGTAAGCGAGGATGAAGAACACAGAAAGAGAGAGAGAGAAAGAGAGAGAGAGAGAAGTTTGTTTAAAAACAAAATTATATTTTTCGCACTTTCAAAAGAGCACCATACAACATTCATACAGACATGCTCGACAACTGATGTTAAATACAAAAAGATTTTAAATATTTTTCGCAATAAATATAAAATTAACAATTGCAGCTTCAGGCAGATGGACAGCAATAGAGAAAGAAGGAAGATAAAAAATAAGAGAAATGAAGAGAAGAAAAAATAAGAGAGAGGAGAGAGAGAAAGAGAGAGAGAAAGGAGAGAGAGAGAGAGAAAGAGAGATCAAACGTTAATGTTGCTCAGGTTAATGAGCGCTGAGCCATAAAACAACATGTGACATGATGACGATGATGACGATGTTGATGATGATGACGATGTTGATGATGATGACGATGTTGATGACGATGTTGATGATGATGATGATGACGATGATGATGACGATGATGATGACGACGATGATGATAATCGCGTCCCAAAAAAATCCCAAAATCATCATCCAAAACGACAAAATTTAACAAACTCAAAACAAACTCAAAACTCGCGACGTAATTAACAAAATACTGACAATCAATCCATCACGCCCGGTAACACACGTCCGATTCCAACCCCGACTCGTTACTACTTGCCGATACCGATTCGGTAATTAAAACGACTTTAACACGGCCACTTGGTCACGTGATTATGGTTATATATATATATATATATATATATATATATATATTATATATATATATATATCTACATATATATATATATATAGTATAAACTGTGACCGTTAGCACTATCGTAAAGCAGGTATATCTGATTTATTATTATTATTATTATTATTATTATTCATTATTATTATTCATTATTATTATTATTTTGTTATTATTGAGTTTAATTATTAACATTTAATTACATTCCATAAAATTTAATTGGGCCCCAAGATGAAAGCAAGCAAGCGTGAGTTCAAAACGCATTTGATCACGTGCCGGTTATGACGTAACTAAGCCGTGACGTAATGATCTGGCTGGTCACGTGCGCAGTGTTGTTGATGACGTGTCCTGTTGTTGCTCTTGCTGCCATTTGTTGTTGTTTGTTGTTGATGTTTTGGATATTGCTGTTATTGTGTTTTTGTAGTTGTTTTTGTTGATGATGTTGTTATTGTTGATGATATGATTGTGGTTGTTGTTGTTGTTGTTATTGATGCTGTTGTTGTTGTTGTTATTGCTGATGTTGTTGTTGTTGTTCAACTGGTTAAGCATGTTCATACGTATGCAAACGTGTTTGTTGCCGTGTAGCTATACATGCGGGATTGCGTGGCTATGACATGGGCGTGTGTGTTAATCTTTAAAGCGAAAACAAGATATAGATGATTGAAAAAAGATAGAAAGAGAGAGATGTATGGAAATAGAGAGAGAGGAGGAGAAAAAAAGAGAAAAAGAGACAAAGAGAAGAAGAGAAAATGAACAAAAAAGAGAAATAAAAAAAGTGTAAAGTTATTTTGTAAAAAAATGCATCTAATTCTCTTTTAATCTTTTAAAAAATTTTTAAAAATTTTTGCAATACATTTAATCTTCGTTCGTTACTACTACTACTGCAACTACTACTGCTACTATTGCTTCTACTACTACTACTACTGCTGCTGCTGCTGCTGCTGCTGCTACTGCTGCTGTTGCTACTACTGCTGCTACCACTGCTGCTTGCTGCTGCTGCTGCTACTACTACTACTGATACTATTACTTTTTTACTTTTAATGGGACAATTGCTTCTGATTTATCTACGCTAGAAGTTAATTTTCTTTGTTGTTGTGTCTATGTCATTTTGTTCTTTTAATCCGTTTAATTGGAGAAGACACAACTGATCCTATTCCCTCCCCATTTCTCTCTCTCTTTTCTCTCTCTCTATCTCTCTCTTTCTCTATCATCTTCTCTGTCTCTCTCTTTCTCTATCTATCTCTATCACCTTCTCTGTCTCTTTTTTTCTCCATCTCTCTCTTTCATCTTCTTCTTTCTTTCCCTATCTGTTTTCTTTTTCTGCCACTCACTAACTTTCTTGTTTTTTTCTTTTTCTCTCTCTCTATCTCTCTCTCTTTCTCTCTCGCTCACTCTCTTTCTCTCTACCTTGACAATGAAGAAAAAGACCAATGAATAACTAATAGTCGTTTGAAAGGCCAACAATTGATTCTAATTTAATTTTATTTCTGATTTTTTACATGGTGTTTTATTGGCTTTGGTAGTTTTCAAGTGCCTTTGTAATGTTTTATAGGCGGGTTGTTTCGCTAATTAACTAGAGGAATGAAAAAACTGGAATGAATGAATGAATGAATGAATGAATGAATGAATGAATGAATGAACGAACGAACGAACGAACGGATGAATGATCGAACATAAAAAGTAAAGCTACTAAATAAACTTTAATGGATACTCACTTTGAGAAAATATTCATTCCAACTTCTTGACTCTTATGCTTTATAGACTTCCAGGAGTTCATGACCATCTGGATTTCAACGTCGTTTAACGGAAGTACGTACATCTCTTCAATTCCGTTCTCGTCCATCTCTTTGACGTCATCGAGTCCGCGCCATTTTTTCTTGGCGGAAGTTATCCTGTTAAAAAATGGTGTCCATTTTTGCCATTTTGTTAAAATTTTGTGATTAGGGGAAGATGATTTAGTTGACGATCTTGCAAAAAATGACGAAAATTTCGATAGTTTTTTTTTCTCGGTATTCGATTCGGTATTCGGTATTTTCGAGTTCGCCGAGCTGGTACTCGACGCGATATCGGATTTGGAACGGCGTTTCGGGCTGTGATGGTTGTTCGTCTTCGTCTGACGGTCTGGTCGAGTCAGTACGGGTAAACCGTTTCCGATTTCGATCGGTCTTACGAGCGGTACATCTATGATTGAGATGTGCGGACTCGTCTCGGTATGAAGTATCGTTGCTGTGTTGTTATTATCATTATTATTATTATTACTACTACTACTATTATTATTAATGCGGTTGTTGTTATTGTAGTAGTTGTTGTAGTTGTTGTTGTTGATGATGTTATTATCATTCAAGTTACCTCTTTGATTCAAATTGTTTTTATTATAGTTATTATTATTGTTATTATTTTTATTACTGTTTATACTATCCAATCTGCCGCGAATATTTTCAACGCTCGTTGTCTGGTAGAACAAATTGATGCTAGAATTGCTGACACTGTTACAGTTACTATTATTATTATTGTTGTTGTTGTTGTTGTTGTTGTTGTTGATGTTGTTGATGTTGTTGATAATGTTAATGTTATTATCATTATCGTCAGCTAAGTGATTGTTGGTTAAATTACCGTTTTGTAGTGGTTGATGTTGTTGTTGTTGTCGTTGATGTTGTTGTTGATGTTGTTGTTGTTGTTGTTGTTGATGATGTTGTTTTTGATGTTGTTGTGGATGATCGTCAACGTTCTCATCCGCCCACGCTTGCTTTACGTGTACAGACACAGATCCAGATGCTTCAAAATTAATAATTATAGAGAATAATTATTAATAATTATAGGGAATAATTATTAATAATTTTAGAAAATAATTAATAACAATTGTAGAATAATATCAGAAAAAATAATTGGCATTTATTTAAAACTTTTAGTGATTCATGGCATGAATAACCGTTCGATTTGTCGTGCTCCCTTAGATCCGATACCGAATTAACCGAATATCTCTTTGTCGATTCTGGATTGATTCGAGTATTTTTACCGAAAAAGTGAATGCAGACGCAACATTTCTTTGATAAGTTGTCGTCCAGTTGAGTTTTTTGAGTTTTTTTCATTTTTTTAAAGATGACGATGATATTAATGTTGTTGTTGTTGTTGTTGAGTTGTTGTTGATGTTGCTATTATTGATGTTGTTGTTGACAACGATGATGATGATGATGATGATGATTCCGACGAAGAATGATGATAATGATGGTGATGTTGTTTTTTTGTTTTGTTTTGTTTTAATAGTCAGACCTCAGATTTATGTTCGTAAAGGTTCTCTTTATAATTGTTTTCAATTAGTTGCTTCAACAATCCTAAATAAATAAATAAATAAATAAAAAATAAAATTTTTTGTAATAAAAAATAATACCAATAATAATAATAATAATAATAATAATAAGAAAAAGATTAAGGTAGTAATAATAATAATTATAATAACTTTATAAAAATAACTTGTCAAAATGTCATCCAAATCACCTCAATTTCTGAATGTTATATGAAAAGAATCGCTTTCAAACGTTCGCATAAATATATTTCGTTATATATTGTGAATTATATATATATATATATATATATATATATATAGTAAATGTGTTATAATATATATATATATATATATAAACAGTTTTTTATTATAGTATACAGTATAGTATATAGTATGGTATATAGCATATATATAATATACAATAACGAGCAAGCTATAGGAAATATTTACTTGACTTAATATGCTTAAAACATTGCAGTAATTCTATTTAATTTTATTCAATAGAATTATGTATTATTGAATTATTTTTTTTAATTTGAATATAAAAATTGCTTTTGGTCCGGTGAAATCCGCTGACTAGCTGAAGCCGAAGGTTGGCTTACTAGAATAAGTATAGGCCTATAATTGAAGCAATAATAAATTACTAGAATTGAACTAGTCACTCTTTTTTTTACACTATTCGATCATGTTAAAAATTTGTTTGCTTATGAAATAAACCGCGTAAATAGATCAAAATTGTTATTTGAACAACTATCTTTATTATATTCAATGAATATTTTACATTCTGCTGGTGCTCATAGAAACTGGTTGCTGAAATCTTACGTTGGCTTACTGCAGTGGCTTACAGGGTTTCATAGAACTCTTATGATCAATCAATCAATCAAACAATCAGTCAGTCAGTCAGTCAGTCAGTCAGTCAACCAACCAATCAATCAACCATCCATCCAACCAATCAATCAACCATCCATCCAACCAATCGACCAATCAATGAGCCGAATTGAATGAACCAAATCGAAAAAAAACAAAAACAAATAAAAAAAATATTTTCAAGGCTTGTTCAAACTCGAACGAACACTTAACAGTGCAGATCCACAAACAGTTTTGAGATTTTAGTAAAGAAAGAAAAACACAGTAGTTGCTTTTATTTGAATTCATTCAAAAATGGAAAGTGACGGCTAATTAAAATTGTAAAAACGTCAATTGTTAAAAAATCGAATTTTAAACAAACAAATATAACAAATAATCGACCGATAAAAAATAATTATTATCCATTATTACTGTTATTATTATACACACTTCTTAGTAGTTCTTTGAAAATGATTCACGTAACATGAACATTTAGTAAGAAGAATTCACAACATATCATAATGACTAAATCAACATACCAAACAGTAATTATTTATACATGTATATATATATATACAAAGTAAATCAAGAAATATCCAAAAATTATATAACCAAATAAAAAATACTAGAAACCAGTCAACTTTTAATAATAAATAAATGAATAGACATTAAAAAGCTTGATCTAAAAGGTAAAATTTAAGAAACCAGTCAACTTTTAATAATAAATAAATAAATAGACACTAAAAAGCTTGATCTAAAAGGTAAAATGTAAGGCGACGACGAGAATAAAATGTAGTTTGTTTTGTTGGTGTGGGGCTGTGAAGCGAAAACAAACAAACACATAACAATAAACTAGTAAGAAGCCGCAAGAATAGTAGTCAGTCACTTACCTACAATTAAATTACTCTCAAGGCCCTAGCTTACTTATAATATACTCACCTACCTACAAATTTGTATTTCTACGTTTTTGAAATTTTACATTGTTTTAGGTATTTTATTTTACACCTTTCAGCCTTTTATTTTACTTGAAACTTTATAACTAATGTTAAGCCCTAGCCTACCTACGATTGTTCAACTCATCTCAATCCCTAACTTACCTAGGAATTAAACTAAAGTCCGGTAAAGAAAATAGATAGTTGAAGAGAAACAACAACAACGACACCGAATGAATGGATGTTGTGTATGTGTGTGTTGAATTGATGTGTGTGCGTGTATGTAAATGTGCGCGCGTGTGCTCTCCA